AATAGCAGTTGGTGGAAAAAGAAAGTGGCCACATAATGTCTGCTGGTTTTAATGAGGTGGAGGTGAGATTTCTTTGGGCATTGTAACAAAGAACTTTACAAGGGAAGGAGGCGTGGTGATGGTTAAGAATAAAAATACCTTCCTTATGAGAAAATGCTGAGGGCGGGGTAGAAAGAAAGCAGGGAAGACCTGGAGAGTGAGATGAGCCAGATCATATTTCAGATGACACATCTTCCTCATAACTCAACAAGGTAATGTGAAGCCCTTAATGGATTATCCACTTACTTTATTTATAGTATTGGTTCCGTTGTGACAACTTTCAGAGCTTTGCTACCAGCCACTGTTGTTACCTGATCCTGCTAACACATAATGGTTCTAAAAGCCACCATAGGGCCGGCCGAGTGGCGCGATGGTTGGGAGCTGGCTTGGGACGCCAGAGGGCCCCGGTTCGGATCCCACATATGAGGGCCAGTGACACTGCCCTCCACAGCTAAGATGCTGAACAACAGCTCAACCTGGAGCTGGGCTGCTGTGAGTCGCCTGCGACAGCGTAGGCTGCAGTCCCTGCTGCAGGTGGGTTGCCATGGGCTACTGTGTGTAGCCAGCAGCCAGCGTGAGCGGCCAGCAGCCGCGGTGAGCGGCCGTCCAGAAGCCGGTGACTGATCTGCCTCGCCCGGGAAGAGCGCAATGATGGTGCCAACTTGGGCCAGTGAAGCAACATCCTCCACAACTAGACTGAAGAACAAAACGACAGCAACTTGTCTGTTCCCCTTCCCCCATTCCCCAGCACTGTTCCCATCCCCCCAATTCCCCAATAAAAATCTTTAAAAAAAAATAAAAAATAAAAAATAAATAAATAAAAGCCACCATAGCTGAGGTCCTTGCTTCTTCTTGAGCGAGCTCTTCACCAACTGAGCCACTTGGCTGGCCTGGTCCTTGCTTCTTCTCGTGCTAGCTAGTCCCACTGTATTTCTGCTGCTTGCTTTGTACATGAAGGATTTTTCTAGCATACTAGGAGTCAGTTTAGTTATGAAGCTCTCTTTTGTGAAGCTAAGGGTGTACGTGTGTGTCCACATACATGAGTGTGACATGTGCACAGGTTGGGAGGGTGGTGACCTATTATGTATTAGGTCTGTGTAAGCGCAAAGACTGTTCCAGTCAGATCTAGTGCAGGGATCCCTATTACTAGACACCTTTAATTTAAATGAGATAATATATGTGAACGTTCCTAGCAAAGTGCCTGAAACACAACTGATGCTCAGTAAAAATGCAAGCCAAATTGAGATCTGAAGGACTGTATCTTTTATTATTCAGAGCTTTTTAGAGCTGTTTCCAATAACAATTTGCTTATTTCTAAAGGTATTTCTCTGTATGATAAAGTGCATTTCTTTGCTGTTGTACATACAAATACAAAAGTCTAGTTTTATAGAATTAACTTAATTGAACTTGATATATAGGGTAGAAAATAAATACAGGCTCGATTCTTTGGGAAAAGTTACTCTTTTTTTAATCTTGTTTTTAATGCATGAAAATATTTCCAAATATAAATAACAGAGAGTTTAAAAGGAAGGAAATCAGAACGTGATTACCCATGAAAGTAGATTATTCTTTGTAGAAGTAATATGGAGAAAATATTGCTGTGGTTTGAAAAAGTTGATTTAGACTAGGTTGGCTGTGGGTCACTGCTAACTAGTTTGGGGTCTGATTTTTTTCACTATCTTACTGACCTGTTTGGAAACAGTGATCATTTTAATTTTTTTAAAAAAAGCGATTTGAGGCTAAACAGTAAATCTCTAGCTTAGTCTAGGAATCTGGGAGACCCCAAATACCCCAGAAGCCACTCAGCTCCCTTCCCCTTGCCCTGCCCCCTAGGTCAAGGTGATGGCTCAGAGCACTAGGGCACTTAAGCTAATGAAACCCTTGTGATCTGAGGGCATGAGCCTCTCATTGTTGAGGGGTTACCTTCCATTCAGGCAGAGCCCTACCCTCCCTGATGTCTTGCATCAGCTCTTCATTCCCTTGGCTTGAAGCCTGTAGATTGCAGTGGCAATGTTATGGATCCGGGGAAAGGTGACACATTAAGGACCGTCCTCTAGTAAGTTTATCAGGTCCTTTCCGAAGGAGAGATGTTAATGAAGAGAGGGAGAGAGATTACTTAAGTGGTTGAAGGTCTCAGAGTTCACAGACAGGTTTGCCCAGGGCCCGCCTTAAACCCCTGTTCTTGGCCACGTCCGTGTGGAACTGCTATCTCCACTCAAGCTACAGTGAGCGGCAGCCTCTTGTCCACTGCTTCTAGAAATGGTGGTTTAGACTAGGGTTAGACAGCAGAGAACAAGAATGAACAGGGGGAAAGTGAAGTTGCCCATAGCAAGAATGCCAGAGCTGTGTCAATGGGCAGAGAGGTAACTGGTTGTATGTGCACAGTATCCTGAAACCTGTCATGTCCCTCTCTGCACAGAGCTGGACAGCCAGCACAGTCAGAGAGTAGACCTGTGTAAACGCTTGGCGGAGCCTTTTCAGCTACACTTTAACCCATTCCATTCTTCATTTATTAAAGGCTTCAATTGGAATGAGCCAGGCCCAAAGATTTACCTTTGGAGAAGAGAGATGAAGTCCTGGTAAGACTTCCTAGGTCTATGTGAATTTGCTTGTTGAGGCTGAGCTGTCTCTGTCCACTTGTGGTTGGTATTTCCAAAAATGATTGAATTCTTTTCTTCGCATTTTGGAGTGTAACTGTTTGTCTGTGGTCTCATGTTGGGGTTTTTAACACCAGACGTTTCTGCTGCTGCTTGTTTCTCTAGGTCACTTTTCTGTTGCAAAGCCCTTTTTCTCATCAGGTGGTCCAAATCTCCATCAATTGTCCTACCTTGCTTAATAGAATGTCTGTGCAGTGATAATGCCAGCACCTTACATATGTATAGCACTTTATAGTTTCAGAGCATTTTTGCATATATTATTATCTCATTATGTAATGTTGTCCTGGGCTGTTGCTTTTTCCCTAAGTTTTCTGTATTTACTCACCATTTGCACCAACTTGAGTACTTTTCTTCTGTCAATTTTGAGGATACTGCACAGGGCTTGCTTTTTACCCCCTTTTGTATTATTTTCCACAGGGGCTATAAGTGGCAAAGGAAAAGACATATATATATATATATTTATATATATATATATTTATATAAATATATATATATGATACTGTTTTCTGATAGCAAAGTGAAGATAACTTGAGTGCTGTTTATAAGTGATCCTTGAGAATTATGTTCCAGTTCCTTGGGTTTACACTATTGGCAGAAGTACTAAAAACAATTCATCTTAATGATTACACTTACTCCTTTTTTTTTTTGATTGGTGAAACACCTCCTAGACTGTAGGGAAACTGTGCAAGTTAGATCTATGGAGTAGTTTTGTGGGGTGTTTTGTTTGTTTGCTTGCTTTTGTTTTGTTTTGCTTTGCTTAGAGCTTTTGTATTAATATTATTCATGCTATGATGGAGACATAGTAATTTCATTAACACCTTTTGTTTTCTTGGAATTACATGGTTGTACAGTATATCACTTATGAAATAGAAAGCGCTTTAGGTTAAAGCCTGTAAGATAGTTCTGAAACTGTGTTTCAAAGGTATTCTTTAGAGCATTTTGGGAACTCCTTTAAGGTTCACTAAGGCAGACCAAGTTATCGGCTGAACTCACTTCTCATTGCCCTGCCTATCCCATTTTGTATCTCCATTATTCCATCCCCAGATGTTGGGTGAACCATAGATGCCTAAGTAACTACTTACGTAATACAAACCACAGGATTTCGGGGTTGAAAGAGATCAGGCAGCTGCTGTGAGCTGATCTGACCCTTGTATTCCTTCTGTGCCATCCTCAGGTGACCACTGAGCCTCGGCCCATTCCATCCTAAGGCAATGCAAAAGCGTCCCTTTTGTTGAGCCCAAATCTGTCTCCCTGTAGCTTCTGTACAAATCACCAAGTGCCTATCATGCACCAGGCACTGTTCTAGGGGCTGGAGATAGAGGAGTGAACAGACAGAATCATGCTTATGGTTAGCTGTGTCTCGGGGTCACAGAAGATAAGCCAAATAGTCCTTCTGCGTGGATACCCTACAGATACTTGAAGACTGCACTCCTGTTCCTCTGAGGCCTCACTTGAAGCTAATACTGAGTTTATCCAGTATTATCAATACAGGTCCAAGTCCTTTCACTATATGGATCAGTTACCTTTGGATGCATTTTAGTTTTCTTTAATATCAAATTGAGTTTTAGTAGATTGATTTTTTAAAAGTCTTTTGTTATAAAGGTAATATACATTTGGAGACATTTTGGAAAATACAGATAAGTATAAAATAGGAAATCACCTGTCTAACTATTAAATTCTTTTGTGCACCTGAAACTAATAAAAACAAGAAAATAGAAAATCACCTATAATCCCATTACGCACTGTTAAAATGTTGGTATATTTCCCTTTAGCCTTTTCTAACTTGTATTTATAATTTTGTATCCTTTTTTTTTTCACTTAACATTGACATTTTTGCATTCATTATATCCATAAACATTATTTAAATGGCTACATAATATTTCAGATAGACTTTTAAAGGTTAAGTCATAAAAGAGTAGTAAGGATTCCTTAAGTGAGCTGTAGTGCTTCTTTTTCATTAAGTCTTCAGCCTCCTCCCTAAGCCACTCTATTTTGAGAAATACTAGTACAATATGGAAGAAAGCTGCTGGCCTGTATTGTCTCCTGTGGATTCTTCTAATGTGGATTATTCTTGATATGCTCCCTTTATTTTTCTGTTCATTTTTGTGTTTCCTCATAATCATGCTCTGCCCATTTGTTTGGAGTTTAGGATTGACTGTAGCTTTCTTGTTACAACAGGATACCCAGGTGCTATCAAGGCTATCTTCCTGCTAGGTTCAGTCTTGAGGAGTCTGTTGGAACCAGTTCTCCTGGTGGGTCTAGACGACAGCAAGCCCCGAGCTCACTTTTGTCCTTCGATTACAGGCCTACAGCTGAACCAGAAGGCACTCACCACTTTCCCGGATGTGGTGCTTGTTCGGGTGTCCACACCCTCAATACAATCGGACAGTGACATCACGGTCCTGCGACACCTGGAGAAGTTGGGCTGTCGCTTAGTCAACCGCCCCCAGAGCATTTTAAATTGCATCAACAAATTCTGGACATTCCAAGAGCTGGCTGGACATGGGGTCCCCATGCCAGACACCTTCTCCTATGGTGAGTGTCCTTGAAATAGGGCTGGAGCTTATCTTTCCAAACCAGCTGCATCTCTATGTTTTGTTCTCCCCAAAAGCCCTCAGGCATCTTGTTGGCTTTCAATATGAAGCTGTTCATCTTAGGTGACACAGTATCTTGAGTCTGTATCACGGTCATTCCCTCTGTTTGAAATGCCTTTGCTTCTTTCTCTCTGTAAATCATTAAATATGTGTCTGGTACACATATGTGCCAACCACCATACTAGGCACTGGGCTATAGCAGTAAATAAAAGTCCTACCCTCAAGGCATTCCTAATTCATCAGAGACAGAGGACAGCAAATAAACAGGCAAGTTCAGTGCAGTATAGTAAGTGTCATATGAGTTAGCGCAAGGTGGTACCGGGATATACAGGAGAGCTCCTAATGGGCTTAGAGGATATTGAGGAAGGCTTCCCAAAAGAAATAACATCTAAACTAAGCTGAAGTTATCCAGCTAAAGCAAGGGGGGCAGGAGCGGAGTCTAAGCAGAGAGCAGGATATAGGAAGACCTAAAGACGAGCGATCATGGCCGATTGGTGGTATTTTGAGTAGTTTGTAGAATGTAGAGGAGGTAGAGTTGAGATATAAAGCTAGAAAGGTAAGAAGTAGCCATAGGTAGTATATGAGGAGATTAGGGTTAACCCTGAGACTAACAGAAAGTTATTGGGAGGGCTTTAAACAAGGAGGTGACCGAATCGGAGTTCAGAATATCACTTTGGCTACACTAGGGAGAAAGAATTAGAGGCAAAGTAGAGACAAGATATGTAGTAGCAGTCTTTTTAAACAATTCAGAAGAGCAATGGTGGGCTAAACTAAAGTGGCCATAGGAAGAATAACGATAAATGAACAGATTTGGGGGTTATGAAGGAGATAGAAATAATAGGACTTGATAATTGATCGGATAGGAGAACTATGAAGAGAAATCAAGAGTGACTCTGGTTTCTGGTTTGGGCAACCAGAGGTGAAGGCACATAGTCACTGAGACTAGAAACGTGCGAGAGGAGAAACAGGTAGGTGGATAGGGGGTGAGGGATTGTTGGGGAGAGACTATGTCAGTTTGGGACACCGTCTATTTGAGGTGTCTATAGTATATGCCAGTAAAAGTATTCAGTAGTATTCATGACTAAGCCGATAATGGACCTGGAGCTCCTGAGAGAGGTATCGACTAGGAAACCTGCATTTAGTGAAGCACAGGATGGTTGAGATTACGCATGGAGAATATGTAGAATAATAAGAGGGCTGAACTATATCCCTAAAACGGTTAAAATGGTAAATTTTATGTTATGTATACTGTATCACAATAATACATCAAATTTAATAAAAGCGAGTTCAGCAGGGCCTCCTTTAGGCAATGGGTAAAGGAAGAGGAACCTACGAGTACACAAGAGACTAAGTAGGAGGAACTGGAGAGGGAAAAAGAGAGATGACAGAAGCCAGTGGCAAGAGCATTCCAGAAAGGCTGGTCTAATGAAACATGTCGATCGATTCCAAAAGGACAAGTAACATAAGCAATGAGTCATGTGTGTTGCATTTAGCAACAGGGAGCTTAATGCATACAACTTCACTTAGTGGTGGGGAGAGAAGCCAAATTGTCAAGGATGAGGAAATGAAGGAGTAGTGAGGAAATGGAAACCCTTTCGAGTAGCTTGATTTGGGGATACAGTTGTAGTTGAGGGATGAGGCAGGGTCAGGGAACAGCAGGTTTATTTGTTTGGGCTGGGACAGAACTGAACTTGTTTAAAATCGTGATGGAATTTGGAACTGGGAGATTGATGATACAGCAGAGAGGGGACACTTAATGGTGCAAGATCCCTGAGGAAGGGAGAGGGAAGGGGGTCCAAAGCACAGGGGCAGGGACGGCCTGAGATAAGAAGGACCCCTCTTCACTGTATTAGAAGGGAAGGGAAAGAGGGTGGCTAGAGAGGCGTTAAATTTATCAGCAGATCTCAGGAAGTTGGGAGTTCCCTTCTTATAAAACTTCCTGTTTATGAAGCTGCCCCTGTTTATACTGCCTCTTCATTTTTTGTTTTTTAATTATTAGCACTTTTGTGAACAAACGGGTGTGAGTATTCCAGAATATTTTGCTTTGCAAAATTTGATGAACAGCAATACCACCTGTGTTAGGCAGAATAGCAGCCTCTCAAAGATGCAAATGTATAGGAAGTCAATGAAGTTTGTAAGACAGTTTAGAAAGATTTTAATACACATTATTAGTCATGTTTTTCCAAATGAAGACACTTAAAGGAGTATAGTGGAGCCAGTTCAAGCTTTCCAGTCATGCCTTAACTTTGGGTGAGACAAATCCCCAGGCTTGGTTTCTTTGGGTATTGGTTTTCTATTTCTATACAACAAACTACTTAAAAATGTAGGGGCTTAAAGCAACAGATACTTATTTCCTCACAGTTTCTGAAGGTCAGGAATCCAGCCGCAGCATAGCTGGGTTCTTTGCTCAGGTCTCACCAGGCTGAAATCAAGGGGCAGCAGGGCTGTGACCTCATCCGAGGTCCGGGGTCTTCCAAGCTCACTGGTTGTTGGCAGTTCGTTGCTTGCAGCTGTGGGACTGAGGTCCCCACTTGGTTGCTGGCTATCAGTTGAGGGCTGTTCTCAGCTCCTAGAGGCTGCCCACTGTCCCAGCACGGCAGTTGGCTCTTTCAAGGACAGCAGGAGGGTCTTTCTGACACCTCACCTTCTTCTGAAGGGCTCGCCTGATTAGGTCAGGTCCACCATGAATCATCCCCTCTTGATTAGCTCAAAGTAGACCTAATCACAGGAATGATAGTCCCTCATGTTCACTGGTCCCTCCCACACTCAGGAGAAGGGATAATACAGGGTGTGTATACCAGCAGGGAGGAATCTTGGGGGCCATCTTAGAATGCTGTCTGCGGCAGCCATTTTAAAAGAGAAGTACTTGCCCTGCCAATGGGATTGTGATGAGGATTATATGAACTAGAGCATCTGAAGCCTTTGCCACAGAGAAGGACTCAATATATGTTGGTCTTATCTCTGCTCCCACCTTTTGTATTACAGGCGCACAATGTATGTCTGTCAGACTGAATGAGTTCAAGTCGCTAATTTAATCAGAGACGCGAGGCCTTGCGAGAATTCCCACAGAGGGCGCCGTGTTGGGCTGACCGTGCCCCGACCATCAGCCTTACCTTCACTGACTTTCACCTTTTCTTGGCAGGTGGGCATGAAGACTTTTCAAAAATGATTGATGAAGCTGAGCCCCTGGGCTACCCAGTCGTGGTGAAGAGCACACGAGGACACCAGGGTCAGTGTCCCTCCTCCTGGGCTTCCTTTAGAGCTGCAGCTCTGCTGTGACAAGACCCGCCTCAGGCATGGCAGAAGCACTGCTTGGAGAAATGGAGCTCCCCCTCGAGGAGCTTGCTGTGTGGTCCTCACCTCTGTCCCTTTATTTCTGTCCCCACTGTCCTTGCTTTCTCTTCCCTTCCCCGGACTATGGCGGTAGACCCCTGATTGGTTTCTCTAACTTCACTGCCAATACATACTCTGTTCCTTTTTAGGATTAATTTTCCTGGAACAGATCTATTCGTGTCACTCCCTTGTTGAAAACCCTCCCAAGAGCCTGTATTGCCTATTAGAGTCCGTATTCCTCCTCATGGCACTGAGTGCCCTGGATGAACAGCCTCCACCTCCCTTTGCACCTTCTCTGGCCACGTGACCCCCCCCCC